TTTATTCATAACACACGTGAAAAGACCCAGGAAAACCGAGTTAACGATAAAAACGATAACAAAATAACGCTGAAAACCAATAAAAACCCTGAAAACTATACATTTCACACCTGAGCCTCAACTCTCTCGGCCCGGTACCAAACGACTCACGGACCGGTACCCAACCGGGGGTTGGGGACTGCTGGAGTAAAGAATTCAGCTCATTTGATCAGAGGTAGTGATGATAATTGTCTCAGGATGAACACAGAAGCATTTTAACTTTTCTGTTTCCATCGATTTTCTACCACTTTGTCCAGTTGAGGGTCTCTGAGGGACTGGAGCATATTGTAGTGAGTTTTGGGATTTGGGGAGCATGGTCATTTTTTAATGACTCATCTGTTTTCAGTCATAAGCCAATGAGAAAACGTTGGATAATCCTCCTTTCTTAAACTATAATGTTTTATTCTGAAATGAGTGAGACCTTCAGGTCATCAGAAAGGTGTTTACAAGACCTCACAGCCAGCTGTTCTCCCAGACTTCTGCTTAAATTCACAGGTATTGCCCCCTGGTGGCCACTAAAAGAATGCAGCTAGGTCTATCTTTTCTACTGTGTACATGTTTTACATCAACTTCTTTTTAATAAGCTCTTGTAGTGGATCTGTGTGACATCAGGTGGGGCAAAACTTAAACACCAGTCTTAAGTATTATTAAGTTGTACTTTTCAATTTTTCAATTCAGTTTGATTTAAAAGTGCCAAAACACAACAGTTGTCACCTTAAGGCTCTTTATACTGTAAGGTACAGATGCTGTTCAGCTTAAAGACACTGTAGGACACGCCCCTTTGTTACCAACAAGCCCCTCCTCTTACTCCATACGTTTGTACTTTAAAACGCTGTCTGTAATTTGTCACACAACGACTTCGATGAAGGCCACAAGCTGACACAAACGCACGCTGGTTGATGGTCAAGTTGTTTTATATACTACAAGTGTTTCTGGAGCTTTAACCGATTCAAATTCCCCTCATTCAAAATTGAAATGTCACCCGTCGTACCCAGTAATCTATCTGCCCTTCAAGCCAGTGACTCCCTGATCTTTAAATTCATTGTGAGATGTCTCTGTGTTTAAGGCTGCTTATTGTGCAGCGCTCGTCCTTTCCATCTCCACCTCATCTGGGTCGTCCTGACTCCATCAGCCATCTGTTTACACTGCTCCACCAACACAAGTGTCTCCGGTGACTTCAGTCACTATCTTGAACCTTCAGCTGCAGCCTTTGCTCTGTATCACCACTTCAATGTTGCATACTCATATTTTGAATCTATGTTTCCCCCGTACTGCACATATCATATTCCAAACAGCACACTCTGTACCAATAAATAATGAGACAAAAACACACATATGAGTTATAGCAGCTTGCAGCCATAAAATATTAAGGTAAAAAAAAACGTTTCTACCTATGAGCACTGCGGTAAGCTGCGCAAAGCTGGATCGATTTTAACTCGCAGAAAGTAAAAAATCATTTGGGTTAATGGAAATACACATTTCATTTAATCCATGAAATTAATGACTTAAAACTTCAAGAGTACATTCAAGTTAAGACAATCACCCTGGTGGTGAACTCTGATATAATCTACAACATAAGCTACTTACTTCCCATCCAGAAACTCCATGAGGGGCCTCAGCATGGTGTCAGCGTCTGCCTCAGCGGTGCTGTGGTTGGGGGGGCCTTTCATCTGGTAGAGAATCTCAGCCATCTGACGCATGCAGCCGTTAATGCGAGTCTGGAAACTGGAAGCAGAGGCCGAGGCAAACTTAGAGGAAAAAGACTTCTGCAAAGGCGGTGAATGCTCAGTCATTCAACTGTGTGTGTGTGTGTGTGTGTGTGTGTGTTAGGTTCCAGCTTAATCAGGATAAGGTTGGCTTGATTAAGAGACCAGGAAATGAGCAGTTTTACCTCTTAGCAAACACGGTGCTGAAATTGTCCAGGACGGTGCTGAGCTTCACCTGCAGATCGTTCAGGTTGTTAGCCGCCTCAGTATCCAGCTGCAGCACACATAAAAGAGCAGGAGCAGAAAGGAAGAGGAAGATGTGTTCACAGGTTATTTCAAACTTTTATTAGCAGTTCCACAGTCTGCTCGATAGACTGCAAAAACCTCATGCATGAATGGGATGCAGCTTCATGGCTGAGTATCCTGTGCTTCTGCAGCATGGCTGCCAAACTCGTTTTCATTTAACGAACTAGAAGGAGCCCAGTTTGATCTCGAGCGGGCCGGATCGCTAAAGCCAACCCGTAATAACCTTAATATACATATATGCTACATGTATGCATAGGAAATATAAAGAAGTACATTCAGAAATCATTTACATGTATTGAGTCATAAATTTATAAACAAATGATTAGATTGAAATGAGAAAAATTTAAATGAATCCAATAATCCATGACATTGTTACAACCTGTGAGCCAGGCTCAGTAAATATGTATGAACCAGACTGGAGTTAAAAGAAACGCGTGCACGAGCTCTACTGCAGGAAGCGTGCTGAAAAGATGACGAGCTGTGTGTAGCACCACATTTCTTTCACGGTAGGTCAGACACTGATGACTGCGAGCGCGTGAGTCACACAGTGACTTGCAGTTTGGGCGTATTTGCAGTTTGATAGGTAGGCAAACAGGAAGTAAATGCTGACTGAAATGCACGTTGGAAAGGCCGAGTTGTAAAGAAATCACATATGTAATGGGCGATACGGATGAAGAGTGCCTCTTAAAAGCTGTTTACCAGCGTGAAAGGAACACTTCGAGCTGTAGAGTGCACGCCACTTCCTTAAGTGTAGAGAATATATGAATACACCTCTGAAGTTTGAAGTCTGTAGTAAAAACTATTTCACCTTTTCTTAGCAGGAAGCTGTCACCTGTTTTTCATAAGGCTTCCCATGAGTCAACTTTGTGAGGATACAAGTGTTGTGAACAAAACAGACGATAATAAACCTGATGGCTGACGTTTAGAGCAGAAACAAGGAGGAAGCTGCAAACACAGCAGCCGAATATTAAATGACTTTTACACACTAATGTTGTAATGATGTAGGATAAATGTTATTTTTATGTTGGTATATTTACTCCCAAAAACAGCAACAGTGAATACTTAATATAGTGAATATGCATCTACACTTTTAACACAGACATTTTGCTTATGTGCTTATCTCCTTTGCTCTTTGCTTCAGAGCATCTCCAGATCTTCCCAGTACTCAGAGTCTGGAGTGGGTTCACTTTAACACTTGACTGGAGCGTGTGCAAGAAGACCTCTGGGCAACAACGCACTCCAGGCTAACCTCTCTTTTAAATGGACTCACTGAAATACGAGCGCTGCACATTTCTGGGTTTCAGTTGCGCCCTGTAGGTAAAGCAGCCATGATTTAATTTGAAAAATAAAATAGATTTTTACTGTTTTGCCTCGAACACAGAAACCAGTGCGCGCACAGTCGGAGGAGCAGCTTGACTTTAACAGAGGTCCGTGCTTTTGAAAAGTGGAACTCTTTTAATATTTTATGTTTTCTATGTTCTCTTTTAAGCTTCAGCAAGTACGTAACTAACATCTGTATCTAATGTGTGCCATGTTTTCAATTTGCACACATGTAAATGGCAGAGAAATCTGCAAAAAATGACCCTTAACTCCAACCCAAATGCCACAAAAAACGTAAATATACGACTGCTCGAAACTACCAAAAAACCCCCCACAAAGCACAACAATTTACTGTTGCTGCGCATCACACATCTGGGCACCCTCACAGGTTAACACATGAAAGCTAGCTTTTAAAAGGCCCTACGGACTCGTGCATTTTTATGGTTAAACCTGTGTGGCGTGTGTGGACTGTGTGGGCGTGTCCAGACCAGGTTTTGAATTGACACATCTCTCTTCTGTTGAGACCATCGGGGTGGGACTAATTAAAAACCAATAAATCTTATGGGAGTTTGGTGACATGACATAAATTTCAACATAGCAAAGCAAAGGTCTCATTAGGCTGTGATTGAATAACTGTGGCTACAAACCCTCAGCAACAATCGACTGTTTCGACAAAAATGCAGAGACTGAGCCTGCAAGATAAACTGGCCTTGAGAAGCCTGGTAACAGTCCTTCAATAAAACTAAAATACAACCTGAAGGTTTAAGCCCATTAGTATGCTGGACCTCAAGCATTCACCGCGTGTTACACCAGTCAAGTGGCTAGACGACTACAAGATAAGGCATCCCATCCCATCTTTGCAGAATGCGTGCCATCAATAACTGTGGAACTGTGTTATTAGCTAGAAGACATTGGGCATACTGCCAGAACATATAATTGGACTAAAGGAGGGTCACGACTTTCAAGTGACAGTGTTTTAGCGTTTTGCATTTTAATTGAGAAATGTTGCAGTGAGTGAAGTGAAAGGTTGGACTGCAAACTCAGGCCTTTCAGAATAAATCTGTTCTGGTCTGAATCCAAAACGTAAATGCACCGCGGCGTGGACGTGAACGCTAAAGTGATGCACATAAACATTCTGACAGAAATTTGTAAGTGACCGTGCACATTTGAGATGTCCTTGAAAACTCCACGACATCAACAATCCTTTGTAATATTATTAGGCAGTGTAATAAGCGGAGAACGTGTAATGACTAAAACTGGAATAGTAGATAATAGCGTTTATATGTGGTATATAAAGTTGTTAAATTACCATACAATGCACTCATTAACAAGGTAGCAAAGCATATCCTGCTTTATGGTTTATGTTCCTTACTGTAATTCATAATTTACCCAGTGGACATCATGCTATAGTAACTCAAACTGAATAGGCCACAGATCAAGCCAGCATCAAGTCATTTTTACACAGTCATCTATGCAAACACACTTATTTGTTCGGGCCATTAGAACAACACTGGCTTTCATTTATCAGACCTGGAAGCTGTGCTCGTCTCTTATATACACACTTAACCCTCTGCAGAGTGCTACCATCATTAGCTTAAAAGAAAAAAAAATCAATATTAATCTCATGTTTCCTGCCAAATTTTGTGTGTTCAACTAACTGCTAAGAATGACATGCTGTGTTTTTACATTACATTTCGCATTTACTTTCTTTACAAACCCAACGGCACTGTTCATCATGTGTTGGTGTCATCTACAAATCATCAATTCTCTAAGTATAATTCATGTGAACTTTGGGAGGAGAAAGAAAGTAACTATGAGGAAACTTGCTTTCAGGTTAGAAAAGTACCTGTAAGCTTGAATACACGCACGCACGCACACACACAAGTCAGGTATTCATGTCTTGTGGGGACCTCTAATTGACATATTTGACCTAAACCATGTAAAATACATTCCTAACCCTCAACTTTACCCTAAACTAGGGATGCACCGATACCGATACTGGTATCGGGTATCGGGGCCGATACTGTAAAATGTGTGTGTACTCATACTCGTAAAAGTTAACCG